ATTCTCGGAAATGTCTATATTGGAATTTTAAGTTATCTAGATTAACAAAAATTAATTTTTAAAGCAATACTTTTTTTATTTATTTAAATACTTAAAAAATAATTTTTAATTAAGGTATGTATACAACTTAAATGTAAGTATAAAAAAAAAAAAAAAAAAAAAAAATTAGATGAAAACAGCCTATTTCATTTGAAATAAGTTAATTTCATTCAATGAATTGCCTGATAAAAGGGTTACCTTGATAGGGTAAATAATGCAATCAGTATTGCATTCATTATATTTAATAGAATTAAACTATTTCTAAAAGTATCAAAAACTTTTGTGCATCATACACCAAAATATACCTTATTTATTAAAATAGCGATAACTATAAAAAATATACCTATTAAATTAAAAATTAACATTAGGTTAAATAAAAAGATAAGCTAATTAAGCTACTGGGTTCATACCCCATTTATAAAGGTTCTATTCCTTTTCTTTTTAATTTTTAATAATTCAGCAAAAATTATATTCTTTTTTATCTTAATAACAGGAACCCTAATTACCGTCTCATCTAATTCTTGATTAGGTGCCTGAATAGGGCTAGAAATTAATTTGTTATCATTTATCCCCCTAATAAATAGTAATAACTTAACATCTACAGAAGCCTCATTAAAATATTTTTTAACTCAAGCCATAGCATCAGCAGTACTACTGTTTGCTATTATATTAATACACTTGAATAATTACCCAATTACCCAAGACAATTCTTCTTACAGTAATTTAATTATTATTTCTTCACTACTATTAAAAAGAGGAGCAGCACCGTTTCATTTTTGATTTCCTAATGTTATAGAGGGACTCTCTTGAATAAACGCTCTTACTTTAATAACATGACAAAAAATTGCCCCTCTAATATTAATCTCTTACACAACACAAACCACCTTTATTTTTGTAGCAATTATTGCCTCAACTATCACAGGGTCGTTAGGAGGGCTCAATCAAACATCTCTGCGAAAATTAATAGCCTTTTCATCAATCAACCACTTAGGATGAATACTAGCAGCTATACAAGCGAATGAATCAATATGGTGTATTTACTTTTCTTTTTATACATTTTTATCATTCAGCTTAACCTTTATATTCAACAATTTTAAGATATTCCATATTAACCAACTATTTAATTCATTCTTCAATTCTAAAATCCTTAAGTTCATTTTATTTTTAAACCTACTTTCACTGGGTGGACTGCCCCCATTTATCGGATTTTTACCTAAATGGCTAGTGATTCAACTTTTAGTACTAAAAAGTCAATATATGTTAATAACGGTTATAACAGTTATAACACTAATTACCTTATTTTTTTATCTACGACTATGTTTCGCGGCATTTATGCTTAATTATTATGAAAATAATTGAACTATTGATATAGTTATCAACAATATTTCTTTTAAATTAATACTAGTCCTATCGTTTATCTCCACATTTAGTCTAATCTTAGTTTCTACGGTTTATTTATTCTTATATCATACAAGGCTTTAAGTTAAATAAACTAATAGCCTTCAAAGCTATAAATATAAGTAGTAGCCTTTTAAGCCTTAGTAATTTTATTACTCCTTTAGAATTGCAGTCTAATATCATTATTGACTATAAAGCCAAACTTAAATATTAGTTAAATTACTAGTTATGATTAAAAAGAATAAATTCTTATAAATAGATTTACAATCTATCGCCTATCATTCAGCCATTTAATCGCGACAATGACTTTTTTCAACAAATCATAAAGATATTGGAACATTATATTTTATCTTTGGAGCCTGAGCTGGTATAGTAGGAACTTCTTTAAGAATTTTAGTCCGAGCTGAATTAGGGCATCCAGGAGCTTTAATTGGAGATGACCAAATTTATAACGTAATTGTTACTGCCCATGCTTTTGTAATAATTTTCTTTATAGTTATACCAATTATAATTGGTGGATTTGGTAATTGACTTGTTCCCCTGATATTAGGAGCCCCTGATATAGCTTTCCCACGAATAAATAACATAAGTTTCTGGCTACTTCCCCCTTCCCTTACACTACTATTAGTGAGAAGTATAGTAGAAAACGGAGCTGGTACAGGTTGAACAGTTTACCCACCCCTATCATCTGTTATTGCACACGGAGGGGCTTCAGTTGATTTAGCTATTTTCTCACTTCACTTAGCTGGTATCTCATCGATTTTAGGAGCGGTAAATTTCATTACAACAGTTATTAATATACGATCTACAGGAATTTCGTTTGACCGAATACCTCTTTTCGTTTGAGCAGTTGTATTAACAGCCCTATTACTTTTACTGTCATTGCCAGTTTTAGCGGGAGCTATTACTATATTATTAACAGATCGAAACTTAAATACCTCCTTTTTTGACCCTGCTGGGGGAGGAGATCCTATTCTTTATCAACATCTATTCTGATTTTTTGGACATCCAGAAGTTTATATTTTAATTTTACCCGGATTTGGGATAATCTCCCATATTATTAGTCAAGAATGTGGTAAAAAGGAAACATTTGGGTCCCTAGGAATAATTTATGCTATATTAGCCATTGGTCTATTAGGATTCATTGTATGAGCTCACCATATATTTACAGTAGGGATAGACGTTGACACCCGAGCATATTTCACTTCAGCCACAATAATTATTGCCGTTCCTACAGGGATTAAAATTTTCAGTTGACTAGCCACATTACACGGTACCCAACTAAACTATTCCCCAGCTATACTATGAGCCCTAGGATTTGTATTCTTATTTACAGTAGGAGGATTAACGGGAGTTGTTCTTGCTAACTCATCAATTGATATTATTCTCCATGACACATATTATGTTGTGGCCCATTTCCACTATGTACTTTCTATAGGAGCAGTATTTGCTATTATAGCAGGGTTTGTTCACTGGTACCCACTTTTTACAGGGTTAGTATTAAATCCTAAATGATTGAAAAGTCAATTTATTATTATATTTATTGGGGTAAACCTAACATTTCTTCCCACAACACTTTTTAGGGTTAGCGGGTATGCCGCGACGTTATTCAGACTACCCTGATGCCTATACAACATGAAATGTAGTGTCTACTATTGGTTCATCTATTTCTTTACTAGGAATTCTATTCTTCTTATTCATCATTTGAGAAAGCTTAGTAACACAACGACAAGTAGTTTACCCTATACAGCTTAGCTCTTCAATTGAATGACTTCAAAACACCCCTCCAGCTGAACACAGTTACTCAGAACTGCCTCTTTTAACTAACTATCTAATATGGCAGATTAGTGCAATGGATTTAAGCTCCATATATAAAGATTTTTCTTTTATTAGAAACAATGCCAACATGAGCTAATTTAGGTCTTCAAGATAGAGCCTCCCCCCTAATAGAACAACTTACATTTTTCCATGATCACGCTTTAATAATTTTAGTAATAATTACAACATTAGTAGGATATTTAATATTTATACTATTCTTTAATTCATACACTAATCGAAACCTTTTACATGGCCAAACTATTGAAATAATTTGAACAATTCTTCCAGCAATTGTCCTACTATTTATTGCCCTACCCTCCCTTCGACTACTATATTTACTAGATGAAATTAATGAACCATCAGTTACATTAAAAGCTATTGGACATCAATGATACTGAAGCTATGAATATTCAGACTTTATGAATGTAGAATTTGATTCGTATATAATTCCAACTAATGAATTAACAACAGACGGATTCCGACTTCTAGATGTTGATAATCGTGTAGTTTTACCTATAAATTCACAAATTCGAATTTTAGTGACAGCAGCAGACGTAATTCATTCATGAACAGTGCCAGCTTTAGGAGTAAAGGTTGATGGAACCCCTGGTCGACTAAACCAAACTAATTTCCTAATAAATCGCCCTGGATTATTTTACGGTCAATGTTCAGAAATTTGCGGGGCTAATCACAGATTCATACCCATTGTAATTGAAAGCCTTCCTGTGAATCATTTTATCAAATGAGTAACTAGTAGAACTAATTCATAATTTTCATTAGATGACTGAAAGCAAGTAATGGTCTCTTAAACCACTTTATAGTAGAATAGCACCTACTTCTAATGAAAAAATTAGTTAAAGTTATAACATTAGTATGTCAAACTAAAATTATTAAAAATTAATATTTTTTGATTCCTCAAATAGCCCCATTGGTTGATTAAGTCTATTTATTATCTTTTCAATTACTTTCATCTTGTTTAGTATAATAAATTATTACTCTGTAATTCCTAAAACACCTAAATCAGAAATCTCAAATAAGTATTCAACAACTTCTTTAAACTGAAAATGATAACAAACTTATTCTCTGTATTCGACCCCTCATCAAGCATTTTCAATTTATCACTAAATTGAATAAGAACATTTTTAGGACTTCTCCTAATTCCTTCTGCCTACTGATTGATACCTTCACGATGACACATCTTCTGAAATTCAATTCTTCTTACACTTCATAAAGAATTCAAGACTCTTTTAGGGCCATCAGGACATTCAGGGTCAACCTTTATTTTTGTTTCTCTATTTTCACTAATTTTATTCAACAATTTTATAGGATTATTTCCCTATATTTTTACAAGAACAAGTCATTTAACGCTTACTCTTACATTAGCTCTACCCCTATGATTATGTTTCATACTTTATGGATGAATCAACCACACTCAGCATATATTTGCACACCTAGTTCCTCAAGGAACCCCAGCCGTTCTTATACCATTTATAGTATGTATTGAAACTATTAGAAATATAATTCGTCCAGGTACTCTAGCCGTTCGATTAGCTGCTAATATAATTGCAGGACACTTATTACTAACTCTTCTAGGAAACACTGGACCCTTCAATATTCTTATGCAATTGTATCTTTATTATTAATTGGACAGATTGCTTTATTAGTTCTTGAGTCTGCTGTCGCAATTATTCAATCATATGTATTTGCTGTACTAAGAACTTTATATTCTAGAGAAGTAGTTTAAAATGTCAACACACTCAAATCATCCATTCCACTTAGTCGATTATAGTCCCTGACCCCTAACAGGAGCCATTGGAGCTATAACTACAGTGTCAGGACTAGTTAAATGATTTCACCATTATGATATTTCTCTTTTCCTTCTAGGTAACATTATTACTATTTTAACAATATACCAATGATGACGAGACATCTCCCGGGAAGGAACCTTTCAAGGCCTTCATACTTATCCTGTCACTATTGGATTACGATGAGGAATAATTTTATTTATTGTTTCTGAAGTATTCTTTTTTGTTTCATTCTTTTGAGCATTTTTCCACAGTAGCCTATCTCCTACAGTAGAATTAGGAATAACTTGACCTCCCGTAGGAATTATCCCATTTAACCCATTCCAAATCCCTCTTCTAAATACAGCTATTCTACTAGCTTCAGGTGTTACAGTTACATGAGCTCACCATAGTTTAATAGAAGGGAATCATTCCCAAGCTACTCAAGGATTATTTTTTACAGTTCTTCTAGGTATTTATTTTACCATTCTTCAAGCCTATGAATATATTGAAGCCCCTTTTACTATTGCTGACGCAGTCTACGGCTCAACATTTTTTATGGCTACAGGATTCCATGGAATTCATGTTCTAATTGGAACAACATTCCTTATAGTATGCCTAATCCGTCACATCAGTCATCATTTTTCTAAAACCCATCACTTCGGATTCGAAGCCGCTGCTTGATATTGACATTTTGTTGATATTGTATGGCTATTCCTCTATGTCTCTATCTATTGATGAGGAGGTTAAACCTTATTTATATAGTATAAAAGTATATATGACTTCCAATCATAAGGTCTAGATTATTTTAGTATAAATAATTCTTTCAATATTACTCATAATATCAATCATTTTAATCATCTCATCAGTAGTAATAATTCTAGCATCTGTACTCTCTAAAAAAACTATTGTTGACCGAGAAAAGGCTTCTCCATTTGAATGCGGATTTGATCCTAAAAGCTCTTCTCGCCTGCCCTTTTCACTCCGATTTTTTCTTATTGCCATTATTTTCTTAATCTTTGATGTAGAAATTGCCCTAATTTTACCTGTTATTCCAATTATTTATACTTCAAACATAATAGTTTGATCTTACAGAGTAGTGTTATTTATTATTATTTTATTATTTGGACTATACCATGAATGAAACCAAGGCGCCCTTGAATGGTCTTCCTAACTTAAAATTAGGGTTGTAGTTAATTATAACATTTGATTTGCATTCAAAAAGTACTATGCTTTAGTCTTCCTTGAATATGAAGCGATTTATTGCAATTAGTTTCGACCTAATCTTAGATAACTTTTATCCTTATTCTTTAATTGAAGCCAAAACAGAGGCCTATCATTGTTAATGATATCATTGAAATTATTTTCCAATTAAGGAAATATGATGAACAAGATAAAGCTGCTAACTTTTTTCTTTAATGGTTAAATTCCATTAATATTTCTGCAAAGCCATTTATATAGTTTATCAAAAACATTACATTTTCATTGTAAAAATAAAGACTAATTCTTTTATAAATTACTAAAAATTATTATTAAATTATTTAAGGGTTAATTAACCTCAATAACAGCTTCAATGTTATACTCTAAACATAAGATACTTAAATTAACTTAAGTTACACTCAATACTATAAACATAACCATTCATAAAGTAAAAGTTAATAAATAAAATTTTAAATTATTACCCTGCATAATCTGGTAATAATTTGAATACTTTCTTAATAAATAATAAATTATTTGTCCACCTACATATTCAGATCACCCCTGATCTATCCCCCTAAATCTTGCTATTCCTAACTTTAAAGGATACACAATAATCCCGTAAGTCGAAATATACGGTATAAACCATATTGATCCAGAAAATGTAGAAACATTATATAATAATAAAGACTTATTATTAAAATAAATTGAAACATTAGAAATTATATACCCTCTAACTGCCCCCACAATACAAACAAATAAAGTTAACAGCTTTAAAAATAACGGTAAAACAATAACACTAGGAACAGGAAAGATTAATCAATTTAATATTCTTCCCCCTACAATTCTTATAACCATTAATCCTATTATTCCACGTAACATAGTTCATCCCTCGTCTCTTAAATAATGCATAGAGCTACAATTTAAATGTCCAGTTAAACTGTAAAAAACCAACCGAAATGAATAACACACTGTAAGCCCCGTAGAAAAAAAAAACAAAAAAAAAATTAAGTAATTAGTATAAGATATTAAAACCAACTCTAAAATTATATCCTTGGAATAAAATCCCGCTAAAAATGGTATTCCACAAAGAGCTAAATTAGCCACATTAAGACATCTCACAGTCAAAGGCATATGTGTTGCTAAATTCCCCATACTTCGAATATCCTGGGAATTATTTATATTGTGAATAATAGCCCCAGCACACATAAATAAAAGGGCCTTAAATAATGCATGAGTCAACAAATGAAAAAAAGCCAATTTAGGAAACCCCATAGATAAGATTCTAATCATTAGCCCCAATTGTCTTAAAGTAGAAAGAGCAATAATCTTTTTTAGATCAAATTCAAAATTAGCCCCCAGCCCAGATATAAATATTGTAAGTCCACCAATTAGTAAAAGCACAGTTGCTATTCACGTCCCATCAATTAATATATTAAATCGAATTAATAAATAAACCCCCGCAGTTACTAAAGTTGAAGAATGAACTAGAGCTGAAACAGGTGTGGGGGCAGCTATTGCAGCCGGTAGTCAAGAAGAAAACGGAATCTGGGCACTTTTTGTCATTGCGGCCAAAATGACTAATCCCCCAATAATTATTATTTCATAATCTATCTTTATTAATTCAAGATAAAAAATATAATTCCATCTTCCGTAATTTAATATCCAAGCAATAGCTAACAGCAAAGCCACATCCCCAATTCGGTTAGACAACGCAGTTAATATCCCTGCATTAAAAGACTTTACATTTTGAAAATAAATAACTAAACAATACGAAACTAGCCCCAGCCCATCTCATCCCAATAAAATTCTAATTAAATTTGGTCTAATAATTAAAAGCATTATTGACAACACAAACATTAATACAAGCATAATAAATCGATTAATATTAAAATCTCTACTTATATACTCCCGTCTATAATAAATTACTAACGAAGAAATTAACAAAACAAAAGATATAAATAATAAACTCATTCAATCTCACAAAAAAGTTATTACAATTCTTGACGAGTTTAAATTAACCACCTCTCATTCAATAAAAGTTACTCTATCAAACAAAAGACAGTTTAAACTCAAATAAAAACACAACATTCTAATTATAAACAAAATAATAAAACTAATAAAGCAAATTGAAATATATTTCACGATTTAAAATGAATAAAATTCATATCACTGACACCACAAATCAATATTTT